GACTTTAGAAATTGACTTATCTGCTTTACCATGATTGATTTTGGAACCTTGAGTAAGTTACTTCACCCCTCTGTACTTTGTCTTCCTCATTTGTAAAACAGAGATAACAACAGTACCTACTCTGCAGGGTCTTTGTGAGAATTAGATGAGATAATACATGTACATTTTCTAGAATAGCGCTTAGTACCCAATAAGTACATGAAACTTTGTATGTAAGTGGCCAAGTGTTTGTTAGAACTGGCAACTGTCTGATGTCAAAGCTGGACTCTTACCACTGTTAGATAATAGTGTTGAACTAAACTGAGGAAATGGAAGGAGTGAAGTGGATTGAGGGATTGGGGCTAGAAGAAGAGGTTTAGTACCTCTATTTAGTATCTCAAGGACAGTTTATAAGCTCAGATAATCAGTCTTGCTTATGAAAGATCATAGAAGAAAGACTGCTTCAGAAAGAGGGTTTTTATGTGTGTCCTCCGTTGGTCAGGACTTCAGGATGTTAGTAAAAAGTTTATTTCAGCCTGTTCTAACTAGGGTTGTTTCAGAAAGCCTGCAGAATAGATTGATTTTCCTGGATACCTTTAAGGAAGCTGATCAAGTGATTAGAAAATCTTGTGACTTTCTAATACTAATACTATGCTAATAATATGGTAGATCTTAGTTATATGTTCTCTTTTAATATATCCAGTTAGTGGATAATTTTCAGAGAGACAATTTGTGAAGGATATTTTAGTCTTTTAACAGACAATAAATTTCAAATTCTGTTTTCATACAGCGATGTGAACCATAGTAAGAAATAAAAAACTCCCCTCCCCTGAAATAACAAATTTCTTTTAAAAATCAAATTAATTCCAGTAAACAAAATCCATTGTGAATTTTGCATGTTTCCTCAAGATTTTGTTTTAATCAGATGCCTGATATAAATTCCTCCAGTGATAACTTGGAATTGAATATTGAAAGCAGTAGTTGACTGTACTTTGTTATACTAGTTGACCTGATGATACATCAAAGCTGTTAGTAATTATAGTTAATCAACATTATGAATTATTCTTACAGTTATTTAATCATAGGCTTTCTTTTATGATTATACATGTTTCTCAACCATCTTCTTCCACTGCTTTCCCTCCCTGCATCTATTTTTTACTTTTTCCATTGGTAGAAATGCAGAGTAATTTTAATATGATCATATCTACAACATTATTAGTCAAATATACTTTAAAAATGTATTCCAAAATCACATACATTCTATAGTGAATCTTTTATGATGCCCACTTTGCTTTCCTTCCTCTCTTCCTCCTCTTCATCCCCTCATCTCTTTGAGAAAAGAAAGGAAATAAGTTGCAGAGGAGAATTCTTTGAACAAAAAGCAATCAGAGTAAAAGAACTATATTTCTCATAATACATCCTTAAATGTGATTTCTGATCAGAGTATGGGTTAGGAATATGGCTTTATGAATGTAAGATTACTTGAGTTTCATTTAATTAAAGTAGGAAGCAAAGGGCAAAAATGCTGACATTCAATTTTCTGTTGCCTTTCTCATGTCTCACTGTCTCAGCTGAAATATCTCAATGGAAAAAAGTATCTGTAATATGCTACTTTTTAATCTAAAAGAGGATATATATATCTATATATATACACACACATA